AAAACGCATTAACTTCTACAGAAGATGTCATGTAAAATATCTAAGCGATTACCTTTGGGAACCACAGTGGCATGGTATCTTCTTTTCCTCCAATGGAAATTTGTAATTGTACGTCAATTCTTCGCCAGCATATATACGCCTCTTTGCGTAAATGAAAATCTTCTTGTGGCCCTCAACAGTAATTACTTTTGTATAACAATTCGGCTGGCAAGGAAATAATGAGACTGCTATTCAGCATGTTACAGACATCACAGTTGAATGTTTATTGTTAAGCAGTTTACCTCACACGAATGGTTGATAAATCTTGCTAAACCACCACGCTTAGTAGCATCAACCTGTGTAAATTAAGAAAAAATGGAGGCAATGAACAGAGTTGCGCAAGGTGCAGTCACAAAAACTGGCAAAGATTAAACATGATTTCAATCAAAGGTTTGAGACTACCAAGCATCACAAGGACCCCAACCCATTAAAAGATCACATTTATGCTTTACATTATTATATTGTCACATAGCTCCATCATTTTCTGTACTGCTTCAACATTATCCAATTCTTCTATTGTCTAAGAAGCAAATATCAGAAATAAAGACATGTATGCAGCACACCATTTTAGATAAAGGCAGATAGGAATAATCTTCTACACCTACCACATAATCATCGTCCAAGCGAAAAAGGTAACTGCTTCCAATTCCACTCTTCTCATATTGATCCTCACGTATGTCTGAGACCTGCATGGTACAGATATATCAATAAGCTTCTTATAAAAACTACGTACTACATTGATGAAGGGATTGTTGATTTCAAGATAACAAAATTACCGGACGGCGAATCAGTTCACCAACATATTCAATAACGAAATCTTCTGCATCAATTGACTCAAGGGCCACCAGACCCCATTCATGGATCTTGCTCCTTTGAAAACGTAACCGCTTCTTCCTTGCCTGTATGCCAAAGATAGAGTCAGTGGTCATCCAAACTGTCATGGCAAGAGAAACTTGTGTACATGCAATGATTTATTTTACCTTCGATTGGGTAATTTTCAGTAGCTCAGTGCCTTCAGAAGCAGCTAACAGGTTTCGTAACTTTACGCGATTTGTTCGCGCAGATGTACCTTTAACTTGCGGATTTTTCCACACATTATTAGCTGAAGTTGAAAGAATACTCCGAACATGGTACCCTCTCACACGAGTCCTTTCTGATGGAGTGGCGGTGCGTGCCCAATTACGCCACTCCCACCCATTGGAGGAAGCTCTTGCACAGCCATCTGACTCTGGACACAAAATCAATGGCTTTGCCTTCTGACTGGAGTCAGTAGACATGTTCTTATTCTTTCTTTTCTTTGCGAGCTTTGTGGGCACACTAATGTTCTCAAAAGGAACCTCATTATCAACCAGAGGCGTCCTAGTAAGATGAGAAGTCCTTTGTCCTACAAAAGAAGGATGATGCATGTGATAAATCTATGCAAATTTACAGGGGATGAAGCAAACAGGATTAAAATGCTTACTCTTTGGCACATCATTGGAAAGCCGCTTCAAGTCTTGTTCGATATTCAAAGGGTTTACAACATTATCAAGAGTTTTGGTACGACTCTTGGAGGTCTTTGGCACATCACTGGAAAGCCGCTTCAAGCCTTGTTCAATATTCGTAGGGTTTACAGCATTATCAAGAGTTTTGGTACGACTCTTGGAGGCTTTTGGCACATCATTGGAAAGCCGCTTCAAGCCTTGTTTGATATTCAAAGGGTTTACAGCATTATCAAGAGTTTTGGTACGACTCTTGGAGGCCTTTGGCACATCATTGGGAAGAAGCTTCAAGCCTTGTTTGATATTCAAAGGGTTTACAGCATTAGCAAGAGTTTTGGTACGACTCTTGGAGGTCTTTGGCACATCATTGGAAAGCCGCTTCAAGCCTTGTTCGATATTCAAAATGTTTACAACATTATCAAGAGTTTTGGTACGACTCTTGGAGGACTTTTTCGACTTCCCGGCCTTCCTTGGTTCCTGGACATTTTTAAGATGAACCTTGCGCTCAACAAGCTCGCGTAGAGGCTTGGAAAGCTGCTCATCCGTTGGAGTTCCCACTGCTTTTTTGGATGACACTGCTTCACAGTTGTTCCTTAACTTTCTCTTTTTGTAGTACGCATATTCTTTATTAGGTCTCAATGATTCGTCGATGTTTTTAGGCACAAAAGTCTGCTTGGTATACCATGAATCAAGGCACTCGCTGATAGTATCTGACAGGAGAGATGCCCACTCTTCTATAACATTCGTATGCAGTGTCTGCCTGCAGATAGCCACGCTGATATGTCTAGATATTCCGGGCATAGAGTTAATTGATTTTGAAGGTCGGTATTTGTTTTTGTCCATGACCAGCACAGAAGCTGAGCCAGTCTCCACACCAGGAGGCACCTCATCAAAACTCTCATCCGATTCAGCTGCCTCAGATACATCCAGCTTTTCAAATATACTAGCATAAGATGAAGAAGGGGATTGATGCTCCACTGCATGCAAATTAAAGGGGTTAAAAATAATATAACCAAGCTCAGGTAAGACAAAATGCAATAGAATAATGGTCATTTACCATGAGAAGTGAGCATTTTATCTGTTGCCACATCAGATACAGATGATGTTGCGCCTGCCACCATGTCAGCAGGACTGGGTACAGTATCAGTAGCTATTTCAGCGGTAACCAACACTTCATCTACAGCCATTTCAGCCGGACTGGTTATTGCATCTACAGCCATTTCAGCCGGACTGGTTATTGCATCTAGAGCCATTTCAGCCGGACTGGTCATTGCACCTAGAGCCATTTCAGCCGGACTGGTTATTGCAACTGTAGTCATTTTAGCAATATCCAATGATTTATCTTGAGCCATTTCAGGAGGAATGGGGGGTGTTTCAAGAATGTCCATTGCAGCAGAACTAGGCGAGTCCGGTGCATGAACAGGAGTACGAATTAGTTCCTGCAATACACATGTCCAACATGAATCATGTAAATTTCAAAATCTCAGTAGTCATAAGAGAAATTATTTATCATTGATATCTCACTTGTTCAGTGATGTCTTCAAGTCCAAAGCACAACCAGTTTGTTATCTCCTCTGCAATAACCTCCCTGAAATGGTGAAACAAAGTTTCCTTTGCTGCCACGTATAGTTCATTCGCCAGCATTACCTGGACTCCTGATGAGGGGTCAAAATACATGGTGGAACTTGATTCACGCCACCAACTATTTTTGTCATTGCAAGAACTAATGGCTAACAGCGGCGGAGAGACGGGGCTTGCACACTCCAATGTTGGCCCAAATCCAGGTGGGAAATCCATGTCGCACTCAAGAGCTACTGAATCACATATTACCTGCAAAGACATGGAGGTATAAGAACCCATTATATATGACGAAAGAAAGGATATGAACGACAAATTGCCCCCCTCCAAGAAATAGATACACTTGGTGTCAGAGACAAAACCTTCAATCCATCAGCTTCTTGCTTGTTTGCGTTATCAGACGCACCAGGAATACTCGTACAAGGAAGACTTGAATGGTGATTTCTCTTAATCCATGAACCACAGTAGTCCATAACAGGATCATACAATATCCCATCCCAGATATTCTTCATGGATTCATAATAAAGAGTTTGCCAAACTGCTGATAATATATCAGAAAATTTGGCATGCACCGCAGTTGACTGAACAGCCACAGGAGAAGTTGCTCGTACTGTATTATATGAGTTTCCTTTTTTGTGATTAGTAAATTTTGCATGAGCCTTGCCCTTTAATGCTGAAGCCTTCTTGCTGTCAGGCTGCCAATGTCAAAACCATGAGGGGGAGATTATGAAAAACTGAAGAAGGACCATACAAAGAGGTGCTCTTATTAGAAACACTTTGTGCCAAATAATACACACCTTAACAGCTAGGAGTTTCGATTTTGCAGCTAGCTGCTTCTCAGTCTTCCTACAGGCGATAATTTCTGGAAGCACACAGCTGAAAATTTCATCAACAAAAATCTTGCGGGCTGATTTCACTATACCGGCATGGAGCTGATGACTAATATCATCGACTATGTCACCCATCACGTCACTGGCTGACCCAGAATCATTCTCTGAAGCTTCTGAATGCTCTGTGTGACCTCCACTCCACCAATCAACTAATGATACAAGTGTAAATGGACCAAATTTGCTATCAACATGGTAAACCTACAATAAAAACAGACTTCATTCAGATTGCAGACTAATAATGAGATAAAGAAAATAGTTCACAGCTATACACGCAAGATGTGTAAGTATGGTATTATAAAAAGGATCTAGTAGCACAGCACGTCAACTTTTTTGTTTAACTTGATTCACGGGAGAACAACAAAAACTTACAGATAGAAGTTTCATTGACATTTAATGAATTTAACCGTTTGTACGCAGAAAATAGCTTGTGCTATCAATTTGGTATTCAACCTCACTGAGTTACCCAGTATTTTGCACTTGACAAGGCGAGAAGAGAAATGTAAATGAAATAATTTATCAAACGGTTTACAAGTGGTGTTAATCTAACACATAAGTGCAAGGACACTCAAGCCAATAATGCAACGAATTTCAAGAGGTCTTCACAAAACCAACAGCATAAATAGTGTATGTACCAGACTAATATTCTTGAGCTTTGGCTAGTTATGACCAGATATGTAATTGCCTTCTAATAATTGCAGACCTGCCATTATGTAACTTGAATTGAAACATTGCAGTAAGCCAGTAACAGGGTAACAAGAATGAATTGTTGCTCGAATGGATAAAGCATATGCCAACATAACTCAAGAGGATGGGATTTACAAGACATGGTTTTGATTGCTCAATATTTTTTACCATAGAAAGATCCTGGAGATAGCTGCTATGAAGCCAATAAGAAAGTTCAGCAAGAGAATGTGGCCCATGACGGCTGCCATCGCTGTCCTCGAACATCCAGCATGACTCATCGCTTGAGAGAGCCTGGTGAGAGAACAGAAGCTAAACAAATCAGGGAGGTAGACAAGCGGCTGGACGGTGTGCAGAAACATAGGTAAAAAATGCTCAGCGTACATTTGGAAGCGCCAGTTTATCAGTACGAGCCACTGTCTTATTCTCCTTCGGTTCATTCGGAGTGGTGACCGCGCCAGCAGAATTCCATTGTGAAAGAAACTGCTCCAGAGAACTCAAGGCTACAGGATTGAGCATTTGCCCACCAACAAGAGCATAAATAGCAAGATCTTGAGGCAAGAAACCACTGGATAGCCCCTCATAGAGCTGCTTGGGTGCGTAAGGCCCACACATCTGGCCATGCTCATTCACATACATACAGCCTTCAAAAGGCTGATGTTGCGGATATGCACCGTATGTCCCATTTTGACCATTTGAATGGCCCGTGCCAGACTGCGAATAGATCCCACCGCCGTTATTGACAGGACAAACATTCCCCTGCATGGCAACAAACATGCCAGAGCTCTGCGGTTGGTCGCCACTACAGGAAGCAATCTGCCGCCTCTCCGAACACCTGGTCAATCAGAGCCCGTGATCAGCTCCAGCTTTAATTAAGTAAAAAAGGAAGGAAACAATAATGTGACCAAAACAAACAGAGAGGATCAACGGAAGGTTGTACCGGTCAAGCATGTTCACGCGTGCACCACTGCAGGCCGACACGGAACAATCAAGCGGCTCCCTGTCAGACCACTTTGTACGCTTCGTTCTGGGGAAAGAGCTGGGGCTGCGGAAGCTCGACGACTCTGCTGGCGAATCATCCAAGCCCTGCTCACAAGGAAATTGCATAGGGGTCACTAACAACAACATAGTATTTCTCAAGTTCAGAACAAAAACCGACGCCGTGACCCTTCCACGCAACACGAAATTCACCATGCTATGTAACAGAACTCGCAAATTCAGGACGATCTCTAGGAATCGACCACCGTCACGTCTACGAGAGCAATCGCAAAAGTTCTCTCCGTCCTCGCCTCGCTCACACGCTACCAGCGGGCGCTATCGCCATAAACTCCAAAACCACGCTGTAATCCAAACCACCCACACGGCCGCGCAAGAGACATAATCCCCGGGGCCCAGTGGGCAGATCCCCGACGGCGGGACGAGGGGGCCCCGAGCCCGCCTCGCGGCGACGACCACGCGCGCGGGCCGGCGAGGCGGATCCGGTGACGGGGAGAGAGCGGGAGCGAGAGCTCACCAGATCGGAGCGCGCGTGC